TTAGTTAACAATTAATAATTATTTGTACAAAAATCTGAGAGAAGTAATTTGCTTTAGAAAGCATCAGTCTTGGTATCTTTGAGTTAGCAGAATTGGAACAAAATCAAAGTAGAAAGGTTCATTATTTGATATATTTGAGATAAAGAAATTCATATATTCTGGTCCATACATGAGATCTGTAATATAAGCAACCTCTGACAGTTTTATCTGTTAAAGATGCACCGATCCACTTCTGATCTGATGTACCGAAAGTGATACTGATTCCGATTTCTTTTCCCCATAATTAATAGTGTTGTTTTTGTAGTTAGTATTTTGAGTAAGGCTGTACTCTACATTGTGTTGGCTTCACCTACAAACAGGAAGCATCAACATCTGTAAGTTTTTCATAGTAAATATTTTAATCTCAAGTGTAAGAATTGTACTTTGGATCATATAGAAGAAGCTGTTCCATCTCGTCTGAACGTCGTCATGGAGACAATTTTGTGGGCACTTCTTACAGTTCAGTCTGAATATCTTCAGAGTGAGATTGTGTGAGTTTAGTATGAGCCCAATGATCTTTCTTGATAAGTGACGTAGATTGACTCTGTTCCATCTCTAGTATCGGTCTCTAAAGTGCTACACTGGCGGGGCACTACTTCCAATGAAATGTTTGTCAGTTAATCCTTAAGAGTCAGATTGCCAGATATTATTTGCGTCTTCAATGGTGATTTCACGGGTCATAAAAAGCTCCAACCGCAGATTCCTCTGCCGGCCTGCTTTGTTTTAAATTTAGTTTGTCTGATGCTGTTGAGTGTGTTCCACTGATATAAACTAAAGTTCTCATGACTCTATTTTAATCCTGCGTTGAGTTGCACATCTGTTTGATCAAATAAACAGTTTGGGAGCTGCGTGGCATTTGATGCTGCTTTTTCCTGTTTATACTTGCCATTTTTTTGCCATAGTTGTGTAACTCCTTTTTTTTTCTAGTTGGGGGAATGTCCACACACAATAAAGAACCATTATTAAGTCAATAATTATAGTAATAATAATAATCATCAATCAATTCATCATCATTTGTATTCAAAAAAATCTAAAAATCCTGCTGCTGACACTACCACTCACTTTCACTATAACAGTTTGGTCACGATATCCAGACGTCAGGAGTCTATCCTAAGAAGTGTCAAGGAGTTCAATATACAGAGCTAAGCAAGCTACTCTCTGAGAATTCAAGAGATAAAGCTCATATTTAAACCATGAGCAGAGTTCAAGTCAGAGTCAGGCCATAAGAAACGGTGTGCATGTGACTGTCCACACTGAACATCAAGTCCATCATTTATGAGACTGCAAGCTTAATCGAATCAAATGTCCTTGCTGAAATACTCAGCTAAACACATGCTCAGCTGCAGCCTCCCTCAGTGTGAGACCAGGGCAGAGCCTGATCTGTGTTTGTCAACACATTGCAGGGCCCTAATTGGTACACTAAGCGGAGAGTTGTACACCGATGTCATGCTGAGTAACCTTTCTCTAAATCTATGTTTGTGTAAAGAGGAGGGAGACATCAGTACAGGCTGGAAGATATTTATTTAGAGGGTCCAAAATATAATAGTGATGGAGATGGGTACAATAAGCACCTGAAGTATTTCAACTGATATTTGGACATGTTTACATGTTTCCTTACCTTTTATTCGGGCAGTGGTTAGGTCTTGATTCATTTCACTGATAGCCATTACACACTGAAGGGCAGATTCAGACATCAACGGTTTCAAAATGTGGTAAGCCACATGTATGTTTAAAGCATTTTTTATTTTAGACCATCAACGGCTTCTGTTTTCCTCGTAACACCCCATTTGCTAAGCTTTAGCAGTGGCTCTGTGTTACTAATGTCTTTCACTTTTTCCTCCTCTCAGAACACATGCCATCTGGATGTCTGACAGAAAACAAAATGATCCTCTAAACTGCTACGAAGCCTGTGCTTTGCTTGTTCAAACTATGCTCTCATAAGATGAGCTAAAGCCTGCCTCAGCTAGTATTTATGCATGCAGTGTCCAGCCTTTATATTGCCTTGTTATTTCAGTCCTGCTGAGTGAATGTAAGCAAATGGAACTGGTATAAAACATGCCTCGGGGACAGTCGTTTGCTTTTCCGTGTTAGGAGTGATGAAGCAGGGACCTTGACCCTGGATGCTGTGAGAGACGGGATAAGAGAGACTCTCAAAAGCTGGATCAGAGCCACGCATTGCTATAAAGCCAATGTGCTATAGCACTAGTATGTTGATGGCGTACAGGTGTGTCTTAAGATGAACTTCAATGGATTGTTTGGGGGGTGGAAAGGGGGGGACAACCTTACCATCAATTGGGGAAATAGTGAAAATTCCCAGATTTAACATTTGTTATGTTGTCCTTGTGCTATTCTTAATTAAATATGGGGTTCCAATGTTTTGCCAGTCCTCGTATTTCTATGTACAGTAAGACAATATCCCAGCTTTTATTGAACCAGCATTCTAAGAAAGCTGTTCCACACTTTTTCATTTATTTATTCAGGAACATTAATCCATTTTGCTGATCCTTTCCCTCAAACAAGTGCTGTAAAAAACACTGAGCTCCACTTCAGCTCATCTGCTCACTCTACTCTAATTAAGCACAGCAGTGCTTAGCCTAAAGCTAAGTCCTTCAGTGCTACTCACCCAGCAAAGTTGGGCCTATATATAGGAGTAGCTTAATTCGGGAATGCATCTGATGGCTAACTTGGGGCTGCGCTTGTGGCTAAAATCATGTGAAAGTCTTTATCTTGCTTTTCCAACTAAAAAAAAAAAAAAAACAGTTTTCAGAGATGGATTTTTTAACTTGTCTGCATTTTTTCACTTGCATCATCATGGCTCCATTCTGTCGACCCACTAAGTATTGAGGGCATCTGAGCTTTAGAGCTTAATTAGAAAGTTACTTAAAAAAATCCTCATCATGGTAATTACTTCAGAGCTGCCAATATTTGACTGGAGCTGCTGTGATGTCTTTTTCCTCCCAGTCAGAGTCAGTTGGCTCTGCTTCTCTACTAATCAGGGGATTGTAGATGGAGATATTCAAACCAATTCTCAAGTGTTTCAAAGCAATAATTTGAGTAGGTTTGGACATGAAATAGTGTTACTAAAAGAGAAGTGCTCTGTGCTTTAATGAAGCTCCTCATTTTTCTGTCCTCATGTGTTTAAGAGAGAAGGTAAAGGACACTGCAAACTGTAGTGAAATGATCGTGATTCAGTGTTTCCCACAGGTTATTTTGAGTGTGGCTTTAGTTGTATATTACTTTGAAATAAATATTTTTAGACTTTATAGTCACCAAAATGAGATCTAAACTTGATGAATAAATACAAAGGTGTGCATTGTGTGTTCACATTTTTGTACGCTAAAAACATGTTAACAATTTCATGAAAAACACATATCACATCGTACAAAAAGAAATGGAAATGACACAGCCAGGGTTGTCATTATACCAGGGCTGTGTCCATAATCACTCCCTATTCACTATATAGTGAAAACGCTATTTTGTAATGGTGTGTGAATTCTGAGTGTGCATTATTACACCCTAAATAGTCCACTAACCCTATTGTAAAAGGACTTGAGAACCGTCTCTGAAAACTCTGGACATTTTCTGGAGTTTCTGTATGAATATGGCTCTAGTAAAAATTCTAACCACTGACTGGTTGAATAAACCTGACTGACTGTAGGTGAGAGGTGCTCTGCTTAACCAACGGTGTACAACATTTGTCATATTTGATGAAATTATGAGAAGTTACATTTTTGTTAGGGCTGAAAGTATACCATCCATTACAGCTTAGGTTATTAATGGTCAAGCTGGAGGCTGTTTCACACCCTCCTGCTGTTAGTCGTGTTGCCACTGTCCACACTGCTGAAGTGAGATGTGTGTGTATGTAGGTACAACATGCATGTGTTTTTGGTTGCATAAAGCCTGTATGGCCCAGTGCTTCTGCAACATACTGACAGGTTGCTTTCTCAGGGTGCAACCAACAGATATGCACACTTGAATGAGCTTACTGTACATTCACACGGTTGAACTGATTCGACATCCATTGCACAAACATAGTTTTCCATGATAACATAGTACAGCTTGTTTTAGATTTCTAAGAAAGGGACACACTTAGCACTCCGCCCCTTCTTTTGGTATACTGCCATTCCCTATTCCAGCTGTTATGAGAACGCTGCGAGCACAGGCTTGGTTTAAATACCATGGGAGAAGAGAGACGTAATTAAAGAGAGGACAAGAGAGAGCTGACATTTACTGTTGTACATTCCTCTTCTGTTAGGCCTCTTCCCTGTTTGTGAACCAACTCTCTGAGTACATCCCACTTCTCTTGCTTGTATTCTGGTTTTCCATTCATGGCATCTCTGCCATCTCCGTCATCCTTTGTTAAGACCAACGGAAAACATTACAGGAAAGAAACACTGAAGAAAATCATATTTGGAAACCGAGATGTTGTTTCCGCTTAAGAATGATGTGACATAACTTCAATTAGTGATGACGTCTACACAGCAGGATCAGCTGTCAGTGGGCTTTCACTTCTCAGTAGCAATGATCGCTGCCTTGGAGCTTGTATTTAAAATCATAATAAAATCTATAGACCAAAGAATTAGTGTACAGTAAATAATATTCTAGATCCTGCAGGGTTATTGTGTCATATTAAGAAAACTAATGAGAGTGGGAGAGGAGGCTGATCTGAGCTGCCTGAATCTGCAGCACTGTCTTTTCTTTTTTTATCCTAAAAATGTATCTAATGATGATACTCAATTCCATAGATTTATTATGACTCTCAAGTTGTGTGAAAATGACTCAGTCTTCTGTCCAAAGGATAAAGGATTCTTTATTCTGACTGTATAGAAATAATTGTAGTATCTGCATATTGTTTGAATATGTATTCTGTCATATGAAGTATTGATTTATTGATCGATTGAGAATATATACAGTATGTACATATAAATGTATTTAAAGTGCTTTTGTTCCCTCCTCCTCAGATATCTGGAGTCTCGGTGTGATCTTGTTCATGTTGGTATGCGGCCAGCCCCCCTTCCAGGAGGCTAATGACAGTGAGACCCTCACCATGATCATGGACTGTAAATACACCGTACCGGCCCACGTCTCCGCCGCCTGCAAAGAGTGAGTGAAACATACGCAGCATGAAGTGCTTTGTCTGCTCTGTTGATGACTGATACTAGTGGGAATAAATCGGAAAGACTGAAGGGACTCTCATTTTACTGGAACATCGAATATATTACAATAGTTTTCTTCTATCTTCTAATGGACAGCCTTTGAATTCAGAGTATTGCCGTTATGAGGTAGGACAAACAACATACACTTAGAATTGTAACTCTGATTTTTTTTAAAAGTGTAACAGGCATATACTGTATCTCACTTTAAGTCATAAAGCATATTCCCGCTGATATGGACATTACCGGTACTTTTTCTGAAAATGATGCTGCGTTCCATTTACCTCGGATCTCGGAGCTGGGAATAACGTCACACACGAGTTAACTGCGTTTCATTTGCAAGTCGGAAAAGCAACATGGACGCCTCCAGGAGTAACTTTTTTTGGTAGCTAATACCAGACGATAACACCACACTACGGGATAGTTTCTGACATCTGCATCCATAGATGTGTTTGCATGGAGCGCATGACGATATAATGTCATATCAATTTTTTGAACACAGCCCTATATTAGGACTGCAACAGCAACTGAAACAAATAATTTATTTGAATTGAGTTTGTTTAATGGCTGTGATGGATTGAGAAATTGATATACTCCTTTTAAAATGGTTTGAATAAATTCAGTTTGAAACAGGCATAGTGAGGAGAACACAGACTTCAAGCAACAACCAGGAACATTATGAATGTTACTCTATGAAAAACACCAAACAGTAGACACATATTAAATATTTATACCTTTGTATGTCGGTTATAGCTAAACTCCTTTTCTAAATTATCTGCACCGTGCAGATAAAGGCACGCAGCAGCCACACTGATTTATTCCAGGCCCTGTAGACCAGGCTGCTCCTGTAGCTGGCACAGACCAAAACCCTTCAAGCCTTTTGAGCTGAGCAGTGAAGTCCAACTGCAGTCCAACACAAAAACACGTTCCACACTCAAAATAAGTAACAGTAAAGCACACAAACTGGCAGTTGTATCATTTTCTGTGTTAGTGAACCACACTCTTGATTTTATGCAAATGGTTCTCTCAGGATACACAGCGTTCATTTTGATTCTCTGTAGCATTTTCTGTGGCTATAATTATTCAGGACAATATTAATGATGCTGTTTATTTTTTTTAACAATCGTTTGCCCAGAGAGCTTTTCTTTTTCATGTTAATTAAAGAGACTCTTTGGTACCTACTATTAACCTTTTGATTCTAATCTTCTGAGCATCAGCAGTTCATGTGTGGGTTTGACAACATCCTTAGCTCAGAAGATATTCAGAATTTTTTTGCACTCATTTTGGACTGATATCATTTTGAAACTTTAACTGAAAATCTTTGTTGATCAATTCTACTACTGACCTCTGTGTGCTCAGCTGTGATGCTATACAACTTTGCTGTAGACAGAGCTGAAAGCATTGTGTTCAGAGGAGTTGGAGTGATGTCTCTTGGAAAAAATATGTGACTTCACCATTTTTAATCCAGCTGAGCATTGTTCTATATGTCTGAGATTAGCACCCGCCAATCTTCAAATGCGGGAAAAACTGCTTTGGTGAATAAAATAAATAAGATCAGGCTTCAGTGGCGGTTGATCCCATCAGTACAACATATACTCTAATTTGATGACCAGTTTTTGATTTCAATGCGTGTTGCTACTGTGTGACTGTTAATAGTTGTATTGCACTTCTTTATAGATCCTTGTGGTCCACCTTACCTTGCCTCCTTTTTTTTTTAGCAATCCAGTGTTTTCAAACTATCTGTTTAATGCCAGTTTACATTTTCACTGGTTGCAGCGCTGCACCTATTATGATGCAGGTTACAAACAGAGCAGCTGTTAGAAATGGGAGCTAGTAGTTGAAATCTTTTAATGAATAAAAAGTTTGCTGTAATCCACAGAGGTCTTTTTATTAACGCTCTGCAACCTGTTTTTTGTCTGAAAAATATAGGAACATATATTTTACAAGACTGTAATAGCAGGGGTCTACAGTACACTGCCGTCTTTCACGAAGACTTTGCAAAGGGATTTAGCGCTAGCATTTATTAGGCCTATAGGCTACACCATGTTTATACATTTTCCGTCGATCCACGGATCAAGCTTTATCCATTTCACCACTACATTAAGTCTTGTGACCAATTTTTGCCGTAAAAAGTTTTTGCCAAAAAAAGCCAAAAGTTAGCTTCAGACCCTGGTCTTCCCTTAATCTTGGCAACCTGATACAAAGGTGGGGCTACAGCTGTGAGTTATCACCTACATCATTTTATACATTTAGCAAATAAACAATGAGTGTGTTCCATGGGCAAAAGCAATAAGACCCATACGCTCAACATGCTGTGAAGGCCAATTCTTTGTTTCCATTCTGACTGCGCATCTGAGTATTTTTAGACACAGGAAATAAACGCTTATCTCCTCTGAGTCGAAGGAAAGATCTGACTAGATTGAAGTGTTAAGCTGAAGCAGCTGCAAGCAATCTGATGGGCTTTGACTTCAGAGCAGAAGAGCTATTTGTAACATGCTGTGTCCCAAGCTTATATTTTCACCATGTCAGTAACTCCATCCAACCATATCCCAATTTTACAACAGGCATCTGCAGTGACTCTACTTTCAGAATTGATTTGTCTTACTCCACCCAACTCTCTTTACATCGCCAATTAAAGAAATGCTTGTACAAGACTCAGGCAGAATCGACCACATGAAAGTGCATCATGCATTTTCATGTGGTCGATTCTGGTCATGGATAACAGGGGAGGTAGGAAGATGAATAGAGGCTGGATGTCACATGAACAGCTTGCGATTGAAACTTTCTGTATGTTAAAGCTACTTTTCATGTCAGTTGCCCAGAAAAAAAAAACAGTTGAATAGAACTTTTTCTAGTCTTTCAACCACTTTAACTCCCATATTTATAGACCATGGTAGGGCCATGCAAGGCCGCTAAACAGCTAATCATTCATGCACATTCATGGACTGTAGGCTTTGCTTGAGAAAGCAATCTGGGTTCAGTATCTTGCCCGGGGACACTTTGACATGTAGACCTTTGATTGGAGGGTGACCTGCTCTACTTCAGAGCCCAAGCTGCCACATAACAACTATCAGTGCTTATCTGTGACAAAATGAAAGGACAAAAATAAGGTTTCGTCTGTACGGCATTCTCTTATTGAATAACTTCATAGTCACAATACTTTGACGACACTCACGCTAGTCTGCAAATGTAATTAGTCGTTGGTTAAACTAAGTATTAATGTTTTATTTGTTGGCCCACATTACTGTTCAAATGATGTGCACGAACTTTAAGGCAGCCATCCACTCCTTGCTGTAGCGATAGACTGGATGTATCCCCAGCTAATGGTCCTTTTTCTCTAGTCCTACTACCAGGATGTAAACAAGCTAAGTGAAGAGATGACATCTAGCAGGAGTAGCACATCTGGAAGTATTTTGATCTAGAAAATGTAGATGAAAATGTTTTAACACGTGTCAGGTTAAACTGGCATATCGTCCGGAGTAACACATAACCACATTTAGCTAAGGCATGTGGATGATGAGCACTGCTGACCACACTCACTTGCAAGCCAGTGTTATCACTTGCACACAATTTTAGATATATTATACTCTATTTTGACACTGCTGAGGTGCCCGGCAGTGCTCAGGAAGTTACCCCTCCAGCTATCAGACTAATTTCCCGACTTGGTCTGCACCGGGACATGGAACAAATGAGAAGTTCATGGACCGTCATTATAAAATCCTGCTATGACCAGGAACAATAATTGGCACAGTAAAAACGTAGATCAATATAAACGTTTTCAGCTCGAGTTCCATAGCCATGTTCCCAGGCTGGAACAACACAACTCTTTCTCTACATGTATGGGTGACTGTCTCTGTGTTTGAAGATGTGTCCGGTCTATCTGTATCTGCACCCTTTTTCCTGTTGACTCACCAAAATGCATTCACACAATTCATTTGAGTAATTATTTTGCAATTCTTTTTGCAAACTCATCTCCCTCCTCTTTTGGACTTTTGTTTGTGTATTGTCCTCGATTTTAACTTCTAGGGATCAGACAGGATTTAAAATGTTTGTATTACATCCACCAGCCCTCCCTGTCAGCAACACCATTCACTCCATACACAACATGGGAACACACAAATATACTGTAGGTCTTTTTGAACCATTCAGAACACTATGTTCTTTATTTCCTGTTATTACTGTAATCACACAGATACACTTGCATAACAGTGAACTGTTCTGTATTTGCATCAAACACATTACTGACACTGGATGTTTCAGAGCTGAGAGTTAGCCAGTTCGTCACACACTGATTGTCCTAATGTGAAAATGTCTTTTTCTTGTTTGGCACTGACTTGTAGGTTGGTTGTTTCCATCACACATGAGGGTACACGCGAGGTTCTTAGAATGCGTAGACAATAATATATTGGGAAAATGGTGATACCTTTACATCCCTAAATAGACAGACTGTGTGTACTGTTCAGCCTGTCTCTGAATTGTTCCACATGGAGGGAGTTACAGAGGGACCAGACAGGAGACAGACAACCTTGTGAGTTAATGCTGTACCACCAGGGAATAATCATATGTTTGTGACTTTACAGAGGCGCACTTCATTTTCTAGTAGTGTCGCCAACTAATGTTGGATTTACTCTACAAAGTAATTAGGCTGATTTGGGCCTGATTCCCTTTCGACAATCCTAAACAAAGTCCAGATTTCTGATGGTTTCTAAAGATTATATTGCCAGGTTTTTCTGCTGTGTTTGGTTTGTTAGGAGAACTCTGAAGAATGTTGAGCGGTACGGATTTTAATTTGTAAATATGAAACAATTTGTAAATACATTTTGTTAATGCCGAGCATGCACTCTCTCACGTGGAACGAAACCAAAGCGGATTGGGAAGCGATCTACCTGAAGAAGGAAGCACAACAACCAAACAAAGTGTGGTAGTCTCTGAGAACCAATCGTCAATAGGCTCATGACAGCCCAGCCTCGGGGGGCAACGATCATATTTTTAGCCATACCTTTTCACACGATGCTGATTAAAAATTGGTATCCGCGTCTCTATTGAACCAGCAAAGCTGTGCCGTTTTCTGTGTCCCAACACTATGCAGATTGTCAAACCTTTCCTGCTTCCTCTGTCTCCCCTCCACTGCTCCTACTGTATATGCAGTTTCTGCTTGTGGTCCTCGGGGAGCCAGACTAGCTCTGACTAATCCCCGGCATGACTGTCAGTCAGCAGAGCACTGTTCTGCCCAGCCTGTTAGTCTGTGGCATTCATTCCATAGTCTGCTCACACTTACGCACAAACACACTTGAGGATTGGATAGAGTTGGAAAAAACTGGTCTGAGTAGAGCAAACATGGACATGCACAGGCTCAGTTTCACAGGCTTTATATTGGATGTGTTTGGATGGTAGATGGATGTGATTGTATGTCACTCTCATAATACCTATGCCAGTAAAGGCTGCCTGTTAGTATTGTGGATCATTGATTTCAACAAAGACAGCACCATGAGTATAAGGCTTGGATTATGTAACATGTCATACATTTTTGTGTCCTCCTGTCATGTAGCCTGTACATGTTATACATCAAATAATCCATATATGTCTGCCTTTTTATGCAGATGACAAAGATGACTTATCGCTGTATTCATGATGTTTTTATACTGTATTAAAGTCAGCCTTTTGCTATATTTATATCCTGCCTAATCCCATGAAATTGCAAGCTCAGCTTTCAACAGTGTCATTTGTGTGGAATTTAAGCTGCAAGATGACCAGCTGTAATTTCTGCCCTCTGCCCTGTCAAAGCAGATGTATGACACAGCCTGTGATTGTGCATTATACACCATATTTTCAATGCATCAATGCCTCCCTCCCCTTCCAATAAGGTAGATTGCTCTCAAACAACAAGTCCCTGCTCAGCAGACAGCCGAAACACAACAAAAGGATGGATCCACCAAGGGAGATTTAAGACGGATTTAGTGAGCCTCTTGCAAATGACTATTTGAGCTTTTCAATTTAAGCAAGGGTATTAGGAATAGATACCCCAAAGTGATCCTAGAGAGCCGTATGGTGGCCAATAGAGGCATATTTGGCGCATCAACAGAATCTGATCCTTTGATTACTTTCTTTTTTTTTTGTTTTAAATTCTTTAAGGATTTATACATGCAACAAGATTAGGCACAGGCAATAAACAAAACAGGTGTAAGGTATGAATGAGTATCACACTGTATGAGGACTATGATCAATACCAAAACTGACTATAGATACTGAAACATATTCCATACTACAATAATCATGACATCAAACGATATGAAGAGATTAAACCTTGTTTTTTTTTTTTTTCATTACATTTTTGGCTTCCACTTGACTGACGTTGGCCATCATATTTTAAAATGAGTTCTTACTCTGTCCTGAATTGATGAATTGGTAATTGTTGCGCGGTAATGAATGAAGAAAATGTTTTGTGTCTGTGGGGGTCGAATGGGTTCAAACAATTACACCATATTCTGAATTCGTTGGAGGTTGTTTTATTGCAATGAAGGAAAAGTTATGAAAGCAGTAAAAACCATAAAGTTTATAAAGTAATTATAAGTACTGAATTGGACTCAGTATTGTCAGATACTTATTAAGTAATGACTCACATAAAGAACAAGGCTTAATAGCTTTTGCCTAGGCTGTCTTTGATGTTTACTGAAGTAATTTCTGTCCTCTTCACATATGAAGGAAACCTTTATGAGATGAAATTGCAGTAAATCAGGCAAAGCAACAAGCAACCTTCAGCATCTGCCTAAAAAACTGCAATCATCAAATTCAGAATGGTTTGTGCAATCGGCTGATAGACTGCAGACAAAAGTTGTTAAAGAGGCTAATTCCTTCTGAGTAAAAGCATGCATTCGAACAGCTGCATTTCCGTATTTTATTTTTACAACCTTAAGATAGGAGTATTTTGCATGGCTGGTTTTATTCATTAAAATTGCAGGAATATGTGTTAATCTGTTTTGCACATCTGAAGGCAAACAATCAGATGTGACCAATGTGCTCAGACTCCAGCATAAAAAACAAGCTGAAGGAACATTTCAACACGGATAGGGCAAGAGGCACACCGGTCACTCGTCAATCATTCTGACAACATGGTCCTGACAGGTCTGTTCCCCCAGGCTGAAGGGGTCAGGTGGTGGAGCAGGTTGAGACCTTCTAGCACCTGAGAAGCAATCAGACAGATTCTCTCGTTCCCATGCTTGAAGACATCCAGCTGCTAACTACACTAACTACCTGTCACTCATCTAATATTTTCTTAATGAGATTTAATTTAGTTTTAATCAATTGATTCACGTTTGTGTTTTAGGACATTACTATTCAGAGCTGTCAGTGTTTCCCTGAGCTCCCATAGCTCATTGTAACACAACAGTATGTTTTAGATACAGATAAAATGTCAGCAGCATGCGTTAGCTATTTATAAAAGTGAGGTGTTTGTTCAAAAACCATGCGCATTGGTCGACACTCTGTAAATTCTGGTGATTTAAAGCTTGTCTAAAGTCCATGGACACTAAAGCAGCAGCTTTCAAACGGAGGCATGCAGCCTAGTGGGAGAAGTGTTGTTGCACAACACACCTGCTGTAAATGAACTGACTTGAGGTGCTTGGTGTGAGGTTTTTTTTTTTCACTATTACTTTCACCCTGAATTCTTCACGCCAGCCCACAAGTACTTTTTCCGCTTCAAGTTGGAGTGAGCTGATGTGAAAACACAGCAGGAAATATGCAAGAACATGCACTGCAAGCAAGCAAGCAGGAGTGGGTGGTGACGTTAATATCCTGTGACCGGCACAGGACCGTAGACTGTATCCACGATACTGGTTGATCTTAATGTACATAATGAAACTGCTTCTTTGTGTTTTCTGTTTGACAGTCTGTTATTCTCCGCACTGTTTTAAGAATATGTCTGAATACATCTAGCATTTATATAAAGGCAAAAATTGGCATTATAGCATTGAACACTGATCCTTTCTCCCCTTTTTTTATTGTAATGTCTTGTCTCCTGAGACCCCACCTGCTTACAGGGTTGGTCTCCCACTCTAAAATATGGAAAAGCAACTCAGGAACATTTGAGTGGCATGTCTAAGACAAATATCCTCAAGGGGACAATAAAAAATGTTGGAGGAGTGAAGTGATTGTAACATTTGTAAAAGTTTGTGTATTTTTTTTCTCTCTAATTCCTCGTCCTCTCCTCGTGTCCTCAGTCTGATAGATCGAATGCTTCAGAGGGATCCAAAGCGACGGGCCTCCCTCGAGGAGATTGAGACCCATGCCTGGCTTCAAGGGGTCGACCCGTCCCCAGCCACCAAGTACAACACTCCCCTGGTCTCCCACAAGAATCTGTCAGATGAGGAGCACAACAGCATCATCCAGCGCATGGTGTTAGGAGACATCGCCGACCGAGAGTCCATAATCGAGTAAGTGTTACTTTTGTCTTTCCCTTTGGTGTTCAAACTGGAATATAGAGCTCAAAGACATGCTTCAGGTATGTTAGATATGTTGGTATTCGTAGTTGGAAATATGCTGTGACATTTCTTACAGCCTTAGTGACACGGCCCACCCCTCCCTCTTCAATGAGCGCCTTCATTGCTTATCAATACATCTGTGTATTATAATAGTCACGTCCGGCACCAATGCAAGTATTTTCAAATCCTCAATACAAATTCACTAAACAGAGATCATCTATTCATCCAGCTGACAAAATAAATGCAGCCACATGCACTTATCAGTGACAGCTATACCCTCAGCCTGCACGCAGATGCATGCAATTACTGTGATGGCAGTCGCACTGTTTAAGTCTGTGCCTCCACAAAATGTGAATCAACCTGTTTCTCTTTTGCTGCTCTGACGTGTGAGGAGACATTTACATTGACACAACGCCTGAAGAGCGTGCAGACAAACGTTGACTTGAAGGAACGTCTCATCTTTTCCCCTGCAGCTACTAGAGAAACACACTGTGCTGCTACACGCTGAGAAAGAGCGAATAAAGGAAATAAGCGCTTTTTAATTCAGTCATGGCTTCTAGTTCACACTTGTTCCTCTTAACCTTGTCTCACATTTCACCTTACTTTACACGCAAACACACACACACACACCTCACTAACAGGGGACTATTGTTCTACACTATACAAGTGTGGACTTCTCTTTCTGTGCCACATTTACTTGTGATGTCTTCAACCATAATATTACTTAAAATGTGTGTGTTTTTTTTTTAAAGAAGTTGCCAAGAGGGGACTTGCAGGCACACACACACACACACACACACACACACACACACACACAGTATACATAACACTTAAAGTGCTGACATCCCTCCTTGGCACCAAAGGCAAATTCCTCATACATGTAAATGTACTTGGCAATTAAAATAGATTCTGATTCTGACATTCTCCATTTGCTCCTTTCACACCTCCCTTTCTTTCAGAGTTACAACACCACAACACATCCACCATCATATTTCTGTGTGCACATAAATGGGGACTGTTGTGTTTGCCTGTATGCCGACAGATGGGCATCCTCGTGTGCCTCCTTCATAGATACTCTGATCCAGTGTGTGTAATTGATACGATGACATTAGTGTCTTTTTCTGCCACCATATGGATATCCCAATACCTTCATTACATTGATAAAGACACTAACACACATACATTCACACAGAACAACAACACAAGTTATTCTCTTCTAATGTGCAGACATTATCTACTTCAACGTTATTCATCTCTGTAATTAGAGTGACTGGTCGCAGAGCGTCTTTCAATGTTAGTGGGGATTTTCTATGCCAGCCTAAACTAACTTCACTGTCCTGATCTTATACACTTAGTCATTGAGACTCATCTCTCTGTTGTATGTTAAGTTTAGCTTGAGTTTAGACGATCACATTGTATCATGTTAAATAATCATTTTTTGAACACTTGAACCATTCAATTCAAACCGGTGTACATTTCAAAGAAAGCTGACAGCAGTTTGCCGTGGTGCCTCAACATTTCCCTTATGTGTTATTGAGGTCTGCTCACCCACTGCGTTACACAACTCTGTGTTCTCCCTAATCTAAATATTGTGGTTAGATAATAGCTGCCCAGACTGTCAACCCCATGTGTTGCTTGTTACAATAACCTGCCAGACAAGTCTGACTTTTGACTGGTAGGCAGAACAGTTTTGGGTCTTCTTGTGTGGGGTGTTTTTCTTTTGGAGGATTCTCAGCAGCAGCGCTTGTCCATCACTTGTTGAGTCTCCAGTCTGCTGGTTGAGTTTAGGTAAAAACTGAACCCACATACAGTATGTACAATAAAGACATAATTAGTTTTTTACTCTGCTGTAAACATTTTAATTTCTGCATTAAAAAGGGAACTTTGAATAAAAGCTTGTGCAACCTGCCTCAAGTGGACAGTGGAGGTACTGCAGTTTTCTGTGCTTGGTGTCTACAACTTCCACATTGATTTCATTTTTCAACACAGGAGTTGTCCGGCCTGGTTGCCACAGAATAACCCTTACTTGTTTTGTCCTGATTTCCCTCCCTAATATGTTCCTAATTTGACTTGTGGTTTTTCAGAGCCCTGGAGACAAACAAATACAACCACATCACAGCCACTTACTATCTGCTGGCTGAGAGGATCCTCAGGGAGAAGCAGGAGAAGGAGGTCCAGACCCGCTCGTCCAGCCCAGCAACATTAAGGCACAATTCAGGTAAAACCCCATCCTGCAGAAAACACAGTGAGAGCACTAACAAGATGCAGTGACAGCATGAAATTATAATAGTGATGTGCTTGCCGCCTGTGCAGAAATATTTTCTTAAAGCAGAGGGTGAGTAAGAAAAATCCCTGCTCATCATCATAATGACTATCTGAGTCATAATGTAGGCAGAGGAGAGGGTAATTGACCTATCTCGCTCCACTGGCTCACACTGCTGCCTGTCTTGCTCCACTTTGCACAGCTCGCCCCATAGTTACCTAAGACTGTGTTACATCTCTAAAGGTTTCGTTTCCATTTCTGGGTTCACTGAGCCTCAAACCTGCTGGGCTCAGGGGCAATGGAGCAGATGAAAGAGGAGTGGAAATGGTTTGAACAATCAACACATTCACAATGTTTTTATTTATCTGAGCTGTGTGCACTCTCAAAGAAAGTTTTTTTTTGCTTTTTTTTTTTCAACATTAATGCATTAACACATGCAAATTAATATCATGATTTTCCAGCTTCAAATGCCAGTTACCACATTCCTTTACCCCTGAAATATCTTTTAAAATACATTAAATGATTATTCGAAACCGTGATGCAGAACTCTGGGGTTTTAATCATCACATTGATTTTTGCACATAACTTCGAAGTGTGAAAAATTGATTTCACTTGTATAAGATGCACTTTCGAAACCTATAATTTCATCTAGAAAGTTGGTTGCGTTCGGTATTCCGGTAGTGGCGCACCATATACCAGTGTAAAATACTAAGGCACACACGGTCATTACCATGAGTGCAGCCCTCACCATCACACACTGCATGCGACACGAAGCGATTGAAAATACACTCCCATTTGTTGTGTATTGCACAGCGTAATAAACGGGGGTAAACTCTAAGCATGTGGGATGCTGGTTTGATTGAAACACTCATCAATTAAAGTCAACGAGTGACCAGCAGAGGTTGGCAGCACGACTCGAGGGACGAGGGTCTGTAACTCACAACTTTCCCCGTAAGCTGAGAGCTTAACCATCAGTGTGTGAACAAGTCTGAATGTGAAGGCGAGACCTGCAGTGTAAAAGAGCAGTCGGAAGACTAGAATAGTGCTATACAAGCTCAAGTCCATTTAACTACCGTACTGTAGCTAGTAGGAGTGCAAACTCAGCGAAAACAGATGGTATTAAAAGAGCTAAAGAGCTGTACAGAAACTGCACATTGTAGATGTCACTGAATGCACATAATACAGTTGTCCTGCAGGAAGACAGTTTGAAGTCAAATTCTTTGTGTCTATAAGCAAACCTGGCAGATAAATCTGGTTCTGATACTCATATACCGGTGTGACTTACAGTCCGGACTTTACGCTAAGTGACAAAGGTTTCACTCCAGTCAAGAGTCAAATCGTTAAAAATCATACTTTATTCCTTTAGCTGTTAAAAGTATTTAGTCTTTAGTCTTCGCTTCCTTGCCAACATGTTCTTTCTAAAAGGAAAGCAGAGCTGAACAGTGCACAGACATAAAAGGAGCGACAGAGGAGAGGAACAAATAAGGAAGAGAGGAGTGAGGAGGCTTCAGCAGGACAGCTGGCACGACTCCCTCCACAGTCCTCTCTCTGCTCCTCAGAGGATGTGTTTTACTCCAAGAAAACCTTTAAATTAGCCAAAATAAAGCACGATGGCAAACAATTTTTGATAGCCAAGGTTTATTTCTGTGCTTGAAAAGCAAGAACAGAAGGGCTTTAGCGTTAGATTAATCTGATATCAAAGGAAGCACTTAGTGAAGGCAACACAAGTGCTGCTCGTCTGAGATAGAAGAGAAAACGTAAGAGGAAACACGGGTCCTTACAAAGACGGCTTTTACATAACAACAGTGCTCTGCAGAAACACTGTGATTGGGCTTTTAATACTTGAAGAAAACTGAAAAACTCCAGATTTTTCCAGGAGCTGTATGTGTGAACGCAGACTTCACTCGTAGTTTCTCCTACCAGACCCCTAGTAAAGTCCAAGTGAACTGATGTTAGAACGCAGCAGAATATTGTCTGGAGAATTCACCTCGAGCCAATATGATTGTGACTGACGTTTCTATACTGTGACTGCTTCACGGTGCATAAACTGAACGCATGCTAACTCTTGTTCTCCGCTTTTTTGTTGATATTGCGATTGCTCTGAACTACACGTAGCATTGATAAAAAGGCAAATACTCTCATGATAACATTGTATGGTGGACTCTGTTGTTTCAGCCGCTACTTCTGCATTGGTTTTTTTGCGTCACGTCTTACCTCACTAGACCCCCCCTTCCTCTCTGAAGGGGATATTCTCCCGCTGAGAGGAGCATATGTGAACAGCCAGGTCAGGAGAATCTATCTAGATATTCTCAGGAGTATGTGAAAACTGCTCAAGTGTGCTGATGTTGAGGTCTCTGTGGTACCTGCATCAGTTCAGTAATGATAGATTTAACAGTTTTGTTCCTGTAGAGAGCAACAACATGATCAACACAGCACAGATTAACGGATTGAAATGACAAACGACTCGAGTCCTGACTCTAAAAACGAAACAAAGAAGAAGGACAGATCTGTTGATTCATTGGTGGAGATTGCATGAACATGCATGTGTATTCATCATGTGTACCTGGTCTGAAGATGATGCAACAGATTGATGAAGACATGGTGGTGAAGGTTATATTTAGTCAAGTGCAACTGGCATTTCAGTGCAGAAACATGACAAACAAGTGTAAATGTATGTTTATTTTACCAAGAAACTTTTCACTTCACTTTTATCTGTCTCTGGTTGTGGATTTAGTCTTAGCCGTGTGCCTGTGTGTGTATGCGCAACACATGCTCTCTATGCAGATGTTAGTTCAAGTCAGTGAGGCGGTCATGCATGTGTTAAGCTAACAGCAGTGCCTCTCATGTGATTAATTGTTTTCCGATTCTCGTGTGCTGCCAGTTAGACGTTCTGTTTCAGCTCAACATGAACTCTGCCAGTCCTGAACAGCATGTGTTGTTTCAGAAGGAGGTGAATCACCTGAACAGTGTACAGTGTATGATCACCTTTTGGACACAAATGATGTTTTATCTTAAAGCGCTTGTGTGGATTTTGGCGCCCCCTGTGGACATAGCCGTACTTCTTCTCTATTTGCCTGTCATAGGTACAGTTTGTGACAGTATTGAACTCATTGTGAGTATTTGCTTTGGATTTACTTTGATGCTGTGAATCATCTCAGAGTCACACCTACCTGCTCTTCTTTAAACTCACTTGTATCTGATCGCTTTGATGGTATGATGATGATAATAATAATAATAACTTTTTTAATTAATCAATCGATCATTATTTGTATAGTGCCAATTCATAACAAGTGTAATCTCGAGACGCTTTACATAAGAGCATATGGGATAATATGCAGGAAGGATTTCTCCTTTGTATTCCTCGCGTTGCTGTTGTCCACACTTCCTTCCCGTTGAGGTGGAGGTCGGAGCAGGTCGTGCATTATGAGGACGGCGTGGGGGCGACAACAGTCCGATGGTGGTGGCTGGGCTTCAGACGGTGGGTGGTAGTAGTCCCAGATCACTTCACTGAAGGTTTGGGGAGCTCTGTCTACTCGAGAGTCTGACTTCTGCTGCTGGGATAAGGCCTCCTGGGCTTCTTTATGTAGTACCTTGGAAACCTGTGTTTTTAAAAGTGCTTTGACAGCAAATGCATAAAAGAGAACAAGGCAAAATAAACCAAACACAGAAGAACATAAACAACAGCAAGAATGTAGATGATGCAAATTAACCAGAACAAGAAAAGACAATCCAACAGCAAAGAACCGAGACAGCAAAATACCCAAACTAATACATTTAACCCACACATCATAAGAACCATCAAAAGAACCCAACAACACGAGCTAAGACGCACCAAAGAAGACTGAAGGTTTAAGAAGATGTAAACAACTAAAAGAGCTTAAAGCAAATAAAAACAGATAACATCAATAAAAAGTTCAAAGCAATGAAAGAGGTGAGAGCAATAGAAACCAGTAAATACATAATTATGGTAATTATAATTAAACAAAGTTATTAAGATAAAAAATGACTCATTTAGAACATGAATAAGAGCAGTTAAGGGAAATAAAACAGTAACTTGAGATCTAAGCATAAACAAAGAGACAGTAAAAACATCAAAAGCGGTGGTATGAATGCTTTCAAATAAATGTCAGTCTCTCTTTTTTTTTTTTTAATGAGTCCTAAATCTCAGGGTATTTAAACTGTTCATATAATATCAATAGGGTGTACAATCATTTGGTTTCTCAACACAGAACTCAATCGTTTTTACATTTTCCTTCATGATGATGAGTCTTTGATGGTAACCCGCCTGGAGAACTACCTCTGACCGTCAGCTGCTGGGTTTCAGTGACTGTCCTCAGAGTGACACAGTCTCCTCTGGTCCTCCACGTCTCCACTGTCTGGATCTAATTGGTGCATCATTTACTGTCATTAGATGGAGCTTACATGCTGATGAACACATGCAATGAGAGTTTATACAGCTGTTCTTGCCTTATTTTTATTTTTAGATATTTTGACCATATTTGTCTTTATTGAAAAGAACAGCTGAAGAGAGACAGGAACTGTTGGGAGGAGACAGGGGGGATTTACATGGGACGCGCAACACAACCACTGGACCACAAGCGCCCCCAGAAGCTGTTCTTTCCTGTTAACATAAATTAATTAAATGTGCTCTCAATTGTGAGAAATGAACTGCTCTGTGTGATCACATCAACAAAGTGGACAGTGGCAGCAGCCAATGAAAAGCTCTGGCATTAGTATGACATACGTGTTTCTGTCATTGCTTGTGTGCCTTTACAGTTTTTCCTCCGGAGTGAGATCCAGTTCACGCAGAGCCGATGCCCCGCTGCGTGTCTGTTCCTCTGTTATTATTCGCGGTCTAGTTTTGGGTATGCACGCCCCAAAGCGCTGTTTAAATTGACTCTGCTAACACTGCCTATGTTGTAAACAAACGCCGCTATCACTGCACGCCTCCAGATATGACTCCTCCGCTCGCCCCCTCGCTGTGCGCTAGAGTTTTCATTCTCCTTCTCTCTTGCGTCTGTGACTTTGGATGCCTGTATTTTATTACTTTTTTTTTTTTCTCAGATTGGACCAACAATACTTTTTTCCCCTGCTGCTCTACCTTATTAATCTGCAAGCTCAGCAGTACATACGTCTCCCTACTTTCAGACATCCACATCTCTGAAGCGAGGGGTCAGAATGATCAGGAAGAAAGGATCCGACCAGCCTCTTCTGATTGATGTCGTTTACATTCTGATCAGGCTGTTGTTCTGAATATTAGACGTCCACACAGACGTAAACATAACAATCAAGCCATGGACGTCATGAATGACCCGTAAACTGAATCATGGATGTTTGTAGCAAAGGTTCATTCACTATTTTTTTAATGAGAACCAGAATTCTTAACCTCATCAACCAAAGAAGGTTGATGTATTCATGCCTCCTGGGTCACACATCACAGAGACGTTAACATATTTCCGAGGACCAAATTATAAACAGCGTCTTTGAAGTCGTGTGTGAGCTCCCTCCTCTCTCTCCTCCCTGCTCCAGTCTACATCGGTCTGTATAATTTACCATGTATTTATCAGGGAGGAGGTTTTTAGAAGCTTCCGCAAGTCACTTAAAGAGGGGACGACAGTCACTGTGAGTCTTGTGTGAGCTGTGCAAATTTCTTCCAAGGACACAGCAAACTTTTAATATTCAAGGTTGTAAGAAACTTTCAAATTTAAACTGTGAATCCCCCCCCCCCCCCACAGGCAGTCGTGGCCGACCAGAATGGACATGCACCAGGACATAGAAGACAGTTTGGCGGCCTCCTCTATCTCCCACGCCGGAGGCCCGCAGTCTCCCGCCCGCAGCGCAGAGAACCTGCTCAATGGACATCGCTCCAAAGGCCTGATGGAGCTGGGCCGACGAGAGGAAACGGTGACCGACTCCCCAGCACCGCCTGCACAGGTAGACTCATCCTCAGCACAAGTGGATGATTGACATCATGTTTCATTTACCTGGAGTTCATACAGACGGTTTATTTCTGCCTCCACGCAGGACACAGCCTTAGTCATCCGTTTAGTCTATTTAGTGTGACCCGAGTTTTAATTAGAAGATGCATCAAACATCAAGGAACACCCTCAAGTCCTGTTTTGTTCTGCTGTCCTGAAAGAGGAGAGACAGAGATAGATGTTTTCTGGTATAATGTACCTGCTGTAACTCTTCTTTTGTTGTTGTTTTTGTTTGGGTAATCCATCATTTATATATTTTTGATACATAGATTTCCCCCGTCCTGCACCCACTTGACTCTAAACAAACTGCAACACAGTAATTTAAGGTTTGTTTTTGATTCCTCCAGGGAGCCTGTGCTGCAGCCTCGGGTTCTGCGACTGGTTCTGGGTCCATCAGGGCCGCACCACCACCCACCTCAGCAGCAGCCAAGCAGCGAACCTGCCTTTTCAGGTCTGTACATTCACATTCAGTCTGTATTAAGAAGTTTCAATCGGAGTGTGATTCATAACGATAGTCTGTTTTTAAGGAAAGATACATCGTTTCATTTTATATATGGAAAAATATTTGATGGTGACAGTAAAGGTTTGTTGAGGCCCTCTGATGAATGCATATTAAATAAAGTCTTCTGTGTTCTCAGGGTGGAGGAGGATGAGGAGGAGGAGGACGAGCAGGACCCGTCCCCCCTCTCCAGCCAGGTGATCCTGCGCCGCAAGCCTCCATCCATCACCAACCGCCTCACCTCCAGGAAGAGCGCCCCCGTGCTCAACCAGATCTTCGAGGAGGAGGGCGAGTCGGACGACGACTTCGACATGGACGAGGGTCTGCCGCCCAAACTCTCCCGTCTCAAGATGAACATGGCCGGGAACGCCGGCAACCTCAGCTCCGCGGCCGGCACCTCCTCGTCCCCGGGGTCCACGCAGAAGCGCTATCACCGCCGCAAGAGCCAGGGGAGGGGGTCGTCCTGCTCCAGTTCGGAGACGAGCGATGACGACTCGGAGAGCCACCGGAGGCGCCTGGATAAAGACTCTGGCTTCGGCTACGGCTGGAACCGAAGGGACAGCAGCGAGGGGCCGCCAGGTAGCTCGGGGGGCAACGGAGGAGGCAGCAGCTCGGGCCAGGGTAAACCTCCGGGAGAGGGTGGGGGGACTTCTGGTCCAGACAGGAGTCCTCCTGGAGGGGGTGAGAATGGAGGAGGGGGAGGTGGAGGTGGCGGGGGGAGCGGTGGAGGAGGAGGAGGAGGAGGAGGAGGGGGAAAGGACAAGACAGCCCCTCCAGTTGTTGTAACAACAGTAGCACGACTAACCCCTCCCTCAATTCAACGTCCCGATCATCCCGCACGGCCAGCCGCAGCACCGAGCTGGTGGAGAGCCTGAAACTCATGAGTCTGTGCCTCAGCTCCCAGCTGCAGCACCACCGCGGGGGGCGGGGCAGTCGAGGAGGGGGAGGGGGAGGAGGAGGAGGAGGGGGGGTAAGTTCATCATTGACCCTAACAATCTCTCAGGAGGGAGCGTTAAAATCCATGAGAAATCAGCTTGGAGAATGTGCATCGGCTCCACAGGGAGCCTGGACACCATCACCCTACCCACCACCACCCTCCCTAGAACCCACTCGGCCCCGCACCATCACCGCAAAACAGCAGGGCACGGCCCCCCCGGCCCGCCGGGCGGCAGGGACTCTCACAGCAACCTGAGTGCTTTGAAAAACAGCGTGCTTCAACTACCTCTGTGTGAGAAGACCATCTCTGTCAACATCCAGCGGGGCGGGGGCCCCAGGGACGGCCTGCTCTGTACCTCAGCTCCTGCCAACTGCTGCCAGGTCATCTGATTCCTCCCCCAACCAGCTGAACACAAACCTCCTCCCTCCATGTTCTCCTCTCAGACCCTCCTCACGTTCAGATCATCAGTCTGAACACTCTGCTCCTCTCTTCTTCTTCTTCTTCTGGTGTTTATTTGCAGCAGGGGTGTGACCTCGTGTCACGTCTCTATCAGCACATCAGCCTCCAGCTGTTCCCTTCGCTCCCTGCACGGCTCCACTTCACCTGTGCTCTGTGCTTCTCTTACTTTTCACAACAAGCACTACTTCATCCTTTTTTTGTTTTTAAAGTAGTGAAACTAATACATATAATTTTACTATAATGAAACGATCTGCTGGTTTGAAGGGAGATAGATAACAGCTGTAAACTTTGATGAGATAAAACGATTCAAATATTACACAAAAAAATCTAAGCTTGATCCAAATGCAACTGGATCAACCATATCTTCAACCAGTCCAGTTGCCTTTGGATCAAGCTTCCATTTTATCACGACCTGAATGACTGAGAACCTACACAGACATATTACAAGAAAAGAAAAAATCAAATACGAGCACAAGATTGAATATTAACTAATTAATTAATTTTAGAAGAAATTGGTAAATTTTAAAAGATTGTTCTACTGTAAAAAAAAATATATAGTATAATTAAAGAAATAAAGGTTGGGTCATATTTTTTTTTTTAAATTTAAACACAAGATTACACCTTCTTGTTATTAATTTTAAATGAAGTCAGAATTTATTTCTGGTTGAGTACGAGTCAAGTCAGAATTTTTAATAAAGCACTAAATTAAAGAAATTACAACAAAGTGATCTTGAGCTCACCTCAAGATGTCAGTGTCTGTGCAGGTGTTTCTATGAAAGCCCTAAGAGGACATGCATCCAAACATTTTATTTGACCCATGATAAGTTCATTTCTAATTTAGACATTTTCAGAGTAAAATCAATTGTATTGATGCATGTCTGCTTAGGGCTTCCGTAGTTTTCTGAGATAGGTGGATATCAAAATTCATTATCAGAAACTGTCATACGGACAACAACGCTCAGGCTGTTTTCACCAGGTAGTCCACTGCGCTCCGACTCCATCATTGACACTTCTTCTGGATGAATTGATCACATCTTTAAAGATTCATTTAGAAGTTATCAGTCATAAAAACACAGCCCTCTGGGAAGATGAGAAGACGTCACATTGGTACACGTTTCACATGAAAATGCTTTTTTTAAATTGAAATCTCTCCATTGACAGCCACACTGTTATCTACATGTTTCTCCTTTCAAATCAACACAGGCATCAGCCACATTAGAATAAATCCAGTATTGATTTGAATGGCTTCACACTGCACACACAGAGGAGCTGTGGACTGTCATCCATAAAGATACCACCGTTTTAAAGTGATTGCTTTTTCCACTTTTATGACTCCATCTTTGAATATTAAAATTTGAATCTCTGTTTTCTGATTTCCTTGGAAGAATGACGACTTCAAGCTCCTGTGAGGAGTTTTTGGCTTCCAGTGAAAGCGACTGGAATTAATGTTGATGACTCTTTTTAAAAGAGCAAACGAGTCCGATTATTTCTATAGGAGTTATTTTAAACACCGGAAAGGTTTTATATAGTTCCCACGGCAATGATAAGCTCTTAAAGAAAGCAGAATTTGGTCTTGGAAAAACACAAACAGGACAAGATCAGCAAATGCTACGTTGTCCTCTAGGGGGCACCAAAACCCACACAAACCAAAAGTTCCTAACAGGAGCTTTAACTCTTAACATTTTTGCTTTTTCTTTCAAACTACTCAAACATGCTTTAATATCTTAATTCTTTTCCTAATGGTTTTTAATCTATTTGTATTCTGGATAAGAACATTTCCTGTTTTTTTTTTTAATTGTCCTTACACTGTGTTGTGCTCGGCAGTAGCTGGTTGTCGAGCAGAGAGGTTGAAGGTGGAGCGCTCTTAAAGAACGATGAGGAGGAACAGTTGGAGTGCTGTGCTGAAGCAGGCAGCTGACAGGAGGAGGAGGAAAGAGAAGCATCTCCATGTTGATACAGACAACTCACACTCCCCACCATCCTCCACCTCTTACCTCTGAATAACTCATCCGTCAGATGGATTAGAACCTGGATCACATGTATGTGAATCCATGCAGACAAGCTTTTACGTTAGACTCCAGTCTGAACTCCATGTTGCACTCAGACAATCTGTTTTCTGTTTTTATGTTAAAAAAAAAAAAAAATTCTACTGGTATGGATTCAGCATTCAAAGCAACTGGCACACCTGTTATCAGTCAAAACCCTTTAAATTTGGAAAGTGTCTCCGTAATGAGGTAACCCAGTGTTTGCATTTTAAGCTGGACAGAAGCTAAAGTTTTATCAGCGTGTGTGTGCACTCCTTAGTGGCAGCAAAATCACATTTCTACTGTAGCGACTTAATGCTAATCACCAACAGGTCTGAAGATGTTCCTGCTGACCATGTATTTAAAATGTTATTTTTTTATTCATATTTCAATATGTTGCTGATAGACAACATTAGTTGCGTCGCACCACCGATATCCGAGTGGTTCGTTTTCCGATTTGACCTCCGTTGGCTTCTTGGCGGTCGCACCTGCACCCGCATGTCACCCAAAGCTCACTGCACATGCGGGTGCAGCGTGTCGACTCGACGTGTATCAAGTGTGTATATACAGTACATGTAAAAGTAAAGTTTATTTTTTAAAACTTGTACATTTTGTTGGAGTGATCTGCTGTTTGGAAACGTCGGTGAAGTTTGGTTGAACTCACAATGAAGCTCCAGACTTTGAGCTTTTTAAAGGGGCCGGCCGAGAGAGAAACAACTGATCGATAGGAAAAGGGGGGGTCGAGAGGAAATTCTTCAAGGGCATTGGCAATAAGCTAAACGTGTGTTGCAGCTATCTGTACAGAAACTTTTTTTTTTTTTTTTTTAATTCCTTTTAACGGCCATATTGGACTGTAAAGAAAAAAAAAAAAAAGGAAAGCCATGTTTTAAATATTCTGTTCGTCTTTGTTGTCTGACTTTTCTTTTGAAAGACGTGTAAATACAGATGTAAATATGGTGCTCTTTCTCTAGAACAGCCGAGTGAACCCTTTGGTGCATAGCTGTACAGTAATAGCCTTATTATAATAATAGTAATACTGTATGGGTGTCTCAGCTAAAAATCAAGCCGTGTGAGAAAAAAAAAGCCGACACGGTTCTATTCATACTGTCGGGTCTCTTTTACTGTCGTCTTACTCAGCTGTATCCAGGTGAATGACGTGCATGTGTTTCAATGTTTGACATTCAGTGACACACAGGAGAGAGAGGCAGCCACCGAAATGTTACTGGACCAAAAAAAAAAAAATGAACAGATTAAAAAAAAAAAAAAAGAGGTGAAACTGAGAAATATTCAGTGTATTATTCTGTAGTTGATACCTGTTGTCAGAAGTTACATATAGCTATGGTAATATCCAAAAATAAAATGTGGAATACTGTCTCGTGTGTGGAGTCTTGGTTTTTCAGTCAACTGGAAGGTGGAGGGTTCGATCCCCAGCTCCTGCAGCCACATGTCCGACGTGTCCTTAGGCAAGACACTTAACCCCGAAGATCTCCCGCTGCTGCGTCTGCGGTGTGTGAATGTGTATGAATGGATTAGCTCCTTCTGATGGACACTTAACACAGCAGACTCTACCATCAGTGTGTGAATGAGTAGGTGTGACCTGCAGGGTAAAAGCACTTTGAGTAGTAGAACACACTCAACCATAGCCTCAATACAACACCTATTGCTTAAGCGTATTTACAATGCCTTCCCTAGATCGGCCTTTAAATGCATAAATCAACAACAAACACAACATGTATTTATGTATTTAGCTGCTAAATGTGCCGTCACTTTCACAAGCTATGACATCTTTGTCTTGTACTTTCTGCTGAGCAGGAAGTGTAGAGTAAAGATTTAAAAGATTTTATGAAAATATTTGCTTACTGCTGCTGCTAGAAACAACGCTGGAAAGCTGTTGGGAAGTAATGAGTGGAATGATGCTAAAATTATACATAATGTTAAAATGTTACATAATGAGAACTATGAGGAGTTTGAAATTATCACCCGCCATCTGCCAAATATGGGTGCTTTTGTGCAGTGTTAATTGCCTAGCCCCTGTTTGGTGTGGCAGCTACACCATAGACTATAAAAAAGGATGTAGTCTCAGTGACATCACCCACTGGCTTCTAAAGTGCACTTTTGAAGCCCATCGATGGAGGTCAATGAGCTCTTATCCTTCATAAAATCAAAACAGATGAGTGATACAAAAATTCAACCTCCCTACAGTGTATGCCGATAAAGACATGAACTATTCTGGCCTAATTCCTCTGCAGCCAGTCTCAAGTGGACACTTGAGGAACTGCAGGTCTTTGTACTTTTGCATTCATGTTGTCGCTTAAAGGTCCAATATGTAAGATATTTACTGAATGAAATGAAAAAGTGACCGTACTATATCATCAGACATTTAGGAAGCATGCTATGTTGGAGTGCTGGCTTCTCTGACAACAACCCAGCAGCTAGAATGGTTTGTTTTTGTTTTGAGCAGAGAAGTAGGCAGCACCTCTACACAGCCGTTTTGGACACCCCTCAGTTTGCCAGGCAGCGATGAAAGCAGGCAAGCAAACTGGTTCAGATAGAAAAACAATCTAAAAGTTTATTTAGGTTGGTTTTTTTTTTCTAATGAGCTCAACAAGCAGAAACATGTTAAATCTAGGATCAATATTGAAGATTCTTTTGAAAAATGGAGAGGTTACAACGCAGGAATGGTTTCAAGACCGATGCAGAGCTGGATAAACACTGAAGCTTCAGTGTGCAAGACATGGCAACCTGTGTGCACATGGACTCTAGAGAGGAGGGGGCGGGGTCAGACAGCTCTCTCCAATGTTTTGAAATAGGACTGTAGTACCCCTTTTAATAACTAGGTGTTACATATTGCTCCTTTAACACAAGTCATGCAATTGCAACTGTGATATTTCACTTTGCAGACTGAGTGGTAGTCATATTTTATTATTCTCTCACAAGGTGTTTAAGATTGTCTAATAACATTAAAAAAAAAAAAAACAAGGGTTGAAAAAAAGGTAATTTCCAAACTGTGGTGTCTTCACTAATATTTTGATTTTTTGAATATATTTATTTAATAGGGACAATGCAATTTAACATTGTTTAAATACAGAGCAGGAAACTGATGTCTAATTCTTGTCCCTCGTTGGGCCTTTGGGTAAACAACATTTGATCTCATAAAACCCCATAGCACTATATGAGGATGCATTCAAATACATGTACAACAATATGACAATACAACATGCTATAAACTAATTTAAATGTCAGATTTAAGCTACAATTTAAAAGTGGGTACAGCTCTGGTACCCGGCTTCTCAATCCCTTTAAATTTACAGCCAGTTGACTGAGCTGCTATATAAATATTCATTTAATCATTCAACCTTTCTAGAAGAATCAGTGATGTCATGCCCTCATTTTCAATGATGTTGAGAGAACAACAAAAGAGAAACAACACGCACAAACAGAATAAGTGCAAAAATGGCGGCAACACAATTAGAAGCTGTTACCTACAAAGGATGAGTACTTTAATCAGAGTTTTAAATTGACCCACAGGTACAAATGTGTGAGGGTCTGAAGTGTTCCATGTGATTGCAGCAGAGGAGTGTTAGGACGTGAGCATCAACCAGTAACCAGGTTGAGATTTGACTGAGAGTGGTTTAATGAAGTAGTTATATATGGTGGGATTTTTCTAATCAAGGCTTTATAAATGAATAAAATATTGTTTCCTGCAGCTTCAAGTCCAGCCCAGAGCTGTGTGATAAGACGGTGAGCCATGTGGCTCGGACACATGAGGCTGGGATCCAGGTCTTTAAAAGGTGTTGAAATGCAGTCTGTGGTGATTTACAGGTTATACGACACTCGGGAGGTTTTCCTCTCAGCTGGGCAGCAGCTCCACAAGCTTGAATCTCTTAGAGTTGATCTTTCTATGAACTGAATTTCCACAAACACTGCAGAGCTTCAACCAGGAACTGAAAGTTGTCTCTGACACTGTGTAAACATATAAACATTCATAAAAAAACACACACAGTGGACACACATTTAATTTCCTTCTATATTTATTTAAGGTACAGAGAGCCTCGTTGGTTCCATTCGACTTTATTCTTCCAAACAGTTTCTGTACAATAAGTCATGTAAATACGCAGGACTGTTTTTGTAGAGCATATAAAAACAAATATTCTGATAAGACTTTTCACTTAAAGGCACAGGGGGCGTAACAGGAGTGCACAGTTTTAACCTTGAGTCAAACTGAAGGAGCTACAGATTATATTACTAGTTATATGATAATACCCTGTGTAGGTCACATGCTATGATAAGACAGCCAAACAGAATCAGCACATGTCATCATCTCTGTTCTATAGAAGTGCAGAAAAAAGTCAGCTGAATACTTAATCGTGAAATTCAATCACATATCAACACTGTGAAAAACCATTTATCAAGATGTTAATGTCTAAATGTTCGACACTTCTCAGTACCACGTGTTTGAACATGATGAATTGGGTCTTTTCTTCATTTTAATTTAAAAATATTGCAAGAAAATTCCTTGCTGTTTCTCTGGTGGCAGCTTTTGGTTGAATAAATTACTGAAGATCAGATTTTAATTTAAAGATCACATATTATACTCATTTTGGACAAAAAATTAAATATGGTCTCAGAGCTCCACAATACATGTCTGTGAAGTTTCTTGTTCTAAACCCACTCTGATCCTGTATTTGATCATGCCTTTAACCCCTCTACTTCAGCCCTGCTCAGAACAGGCTGTTTCTGTGTCTGTACCTTTAAATGCAAATGAGCGGTGTCTGACCACGCCCCTCTGGAAGGGCATCGCTGGCTTGGGCTTTCTTACACTATTCCCAATTGTTTTACGGTGAGAAGGCAGACTCAGAGGGCGGAACTAACACTAGCTGTAAGAGTGTCACCCACCTGGGGGAGGGGTTACTGCCCTTTGTGATGTCATGAAGGGAAAATCTCGAAACGGCCTGTTTGAGGCCAATTTTCTGAAAAGTGGAGCAAGCAAAAGACAGAGAGGATGGACTTTTCTTATAATTGAGGGGTTTGTAGACCGGCTAGGGACATATTAGTGTTAGAACAACATGGTGAAGTGTATTTTGCGTAATATGTGACCTTTAAAGCTATTGCATTGAGGTTGTTTAGTTTTACAACACATGGTACTGAAAGCATCAAAGTATTACAATTTTGAAATTCAGGGCCAAACCAAACTGACCTTTCATTACCAAACCAGAAATCAAACTGCTTTATTCAGTGTTTAAACAGTTTTTATTCGCAGGTTTGACTGTTCAAGAGAGGCGTATACCTCTGCAGATAGTTAAATAAAAATGGTTTTCAAGGTCAAATATTGAATTGTTTGTTTTTAGTGGTGATTAAAATCAGGTTTTCTAGAGGTGAAATGTTAAGGCCGTCATTTTTCCATACTTTGAGTGTAGAATTGGAGTCAAGCATACAGAATGTGTTGTAATTAAAGCAGCTTTAGTACTGAAGGATAATCAGCATCATTCATTTTAAGTCAGTTTAAGTCAGTGTGTTGTTGCATGGAGGCTTTGGAGAGGTAACTTTATGTCGTGCACACCATCATCCTGTGGAGTGAGAACTCATAACTTGTCATTTTATGTGAACAAACCTTTACAGTTGCATAATCCCAGACCACCACAGTACTCAAAGAACCCAACCCTAAGTGACTACACAACAAACTCCTTCCATCTACAGTCTCTGATATAACATCTATATTTGGTAAAGTATCGTCGATCATAATTCAGCATTCTTACGTGATTCTAAAGGTCATTTATCCCGTTTAATCCCACCGAGTGTCCCCTGAAATAACACTTCATTACAGTACACCTCCTTTAAATACAAACTCAACACACCAGTTATCACAGCTGTGTATCTGACACAGCGGTCCAATCCTAAACTCTGAGAACAGTTTACCGTCGTTTCCTTCTTTAGTGATGCGGGGGAGATATTGCATTTGAACACCATGGACATCAGCAACATAAACCCCCCCAAAAATAACACGTGGCTTTGTCTTAATACATACATGTGATTGCGTATCAGCACAGGGGTGTAAACAACAAAATGATGTAGCGGTCCGTCAGTATCTGTACAGCTTCCTCTCCTCCTCACTTACTGAGCTCCGAGGCTTCCAGCATTTTCTGAAACACAGAGAGAGAGAGAGAGAGTCATGATTCATTTCACTTTCTGTGTCTGTATGTGTCACAATGCTGGTTGTTGAGGTGGGCATTAAGCAGCTCCAACTGTCCACCAGAACCCGGCTGTAAACATATTGATTTCTCATGTAGAAATGTGAGGTTTAATATGGGATCTAGTGGGGGTTCATTGGCTTTTGCAGCAATCCTAGACACTCAAGGAACTGAAGTTTTTGGCACTTAATCATTGGCTCCTTTTTCCGCAGCAGAGGTTTTACATTGGCTGCAAACATCCTGCTTTAAAGTTTATCATCGTACTGGAATAAGGCTGGATAGCATCACAAAAAAAACTCATCTTATCAGAGCTAAAATCCAACAAGATTTAAATCGCAGAATTACAAATGTTTATTCATGAATTCTTAAACCTAGATAAACCAAGAGTCATTTTCTTGTAGTGCTGTATTTCATTAAACATTTCTGTTTTATTGCTTTCAACAATAATATGATAATAAGAGCACTTTTGGATTCAGTGTAAAAGATAATTTTTCACTTTTCTCTCTTTAACTGAGAGATTTTCTTTTGCCCTCTTATTATTATGAGGTAAACTCCACATGTCTGCTATCATAAACTAGTTATCATATACTTTATATTTATTGTTTAGGATGATTTTGAGACAGTAAACCTCTGTCCTCTCTTTAACTTTGCTTGTTAAATTACGAGGCAAACGCCGCCTCCCTCAGCTCCCTTGGTTCATCATCTTGTTTTGAAAACAGGCTTTCCTCAAGTAAGGACCAGAGCCAGAATAATCTAGGAAGGATAAAGTTTTGGAGTACGTTTACACTGACGTTTTTTTTAGCTCTGCTTTTCTGAAAATGAGGTAAATGACCTGATGACAAAGCACCTCGTCTGCAGAGATGTAGAACCTAGCTTCAGTGCAGGCCCTCCAGCCGGTCTCTCCTTTTAAGGAGCCGTGCTGACTGGCATCTCCTGTGGCTAACATACTTACTGTTGACAAGTTCCTTTTCAAACCCTACTTCAAAACTACCAACCTGTCACTTTAATATAACAAAAAACAAAGCATTGCTGACGCTGTCTTTAGATTCACTTCACAGCTAAGACCTGCAGTACGAAAACATTGTCCGTTAGTCAAAGGCTGTACAATCTTCTCCTGAAGATACCACAGAGGTAAACAGCTCCTCTCTGGCTGTGTGTTACCAGTTCTGTGTGTCTCTTACTGTTTCCTAAAAGGACATGAAGTCCTGAGCAGAATCTGCACAGACAGTGTTCACTGTGTGAGAAGAGGTTCTGGACAGTCTCTAGTCGGGGACTGAGGAGGACAGGGACGGCTCTCTCTGGATCACACAGGGACATGAAGCAGAATGTGAGGCAGGTATTGTTTGTAGGTGCTCTGCTGACAGCACACGGCTCGGAGAGGATCATGGGTCATCAGGAGCACGACGGCACAGCTCAACGCCTTGGATGCGGGCTGGAGTTACAGTGTAAGCAAAAACATGATCCTGAAACCCAGATCAGATCTTTTCACAGCTGTCAAAACAGCAGAGCTGTGTGCACTGGGATTTTTCCACAAGGTCAGACAGGAGCAAAGAGTGTGTGTGTGTGTGTGTGTTCACCATGCTGCTCTGGTTAATAAATGACAGTCGACGACTTTGAACACGCCCCTCCTCCCTGGATGCTGATCTTGGCAGAGTCACTTTTTAATCAATTAGTTCCTCCATGCTTCTGGCAAAGCAGGCAAATTGGAAGTTATTTAAGTTTCTGATCTGCAGACTGATTCAGAGGAGGGGGGGGGGGTTCTGCTGATGCAGCTTTTCAGGCTTCAGAGCGGAGTCTTCAGGGGGCAGCAGAGGGGCTACACACAAACCCACTCCCCCCAGGAACACAAGGGGGCAATTCATTTATTTCAACTAGAGGCAGAAAGATAGGAAACATCCTCCAGAGCAGAATCCAGAGAATTAATGAGTTTAAATGTCAAGACGGTTAACCGACAGGATGTCTTCAGCGTGGGGGGGGGGGGGGGGGGGGGGGGTTAACACGAGAGAGAAAAAGACGATGCAAAGACGCAAGAAAAGAGACGGACCAATTAGTGATCTCACCCCGCTGTCCTCAGAGGCTCGTCTCTGGAGTCCACAAAGTTTTGACATTCAGATCAACCTCAAGAAAAGAAACATTATGCAGCTCTGTATTCACAACAGACTTCATATAAAGCATGGACGTAGTCTCAGTCATGTCACCCAGTTCACTTCTGAAGAGCCCAACAATGGCAGGTGACAATGGAAATTGGAAATAAAATCTCCAATTCAAATTTGATCAATCCAGAAACATGCAGAGAGTTGGAGCTGAGGTCGGCTTAAAGCCTCCTGGCAAACAGCTGAAATGCACCCGCTTAGTCAGATCAGTCACGCCCCTAACTGTGCATCACTCTTATTCCCAATTTTCCAAATACTCCATGCGCCACGGTCCGTCACTACCACTCTGATCATCGCTCCTGTTTCCACGGCGAGCGCCGCGGTCCGTATCCAGAGCGTGCCAGCAGAGCCACTCTGCTCAGTTTCAAATACGCTGCAAGTCGATTTTCCGGCGGAGCCCGCTAGAAGCACGGGTCAAGCTGAATGGAACAGAACTTGAAGTCAAAAAAACGCACAGTGTCCCTATTATTGTGTTTTATTTTGAAATTGACCGGAATGATGATCGTATTTTACATCACTTCATCAAAATTACGTCAAAACAGGCACCAAGCGAACAACAAATCAACCTCAGAAAAACAAGGCAATATTTTGTTTACATGTTTTTCCTCTTTATTCCAGCGTGGTCTTGTAGTTCTCGTGATATGGATATTTTGCTCCGCTCTTGGTTGTAAATAAACCTTCCAGAGAGTGGCGTATGACGATTGTACATCCTATTGAGACACATATTGTAATTAGTTATATTGGGCTACATACATCAAAATGGATTTGTCAGCCTCCCCTTCTCCCCGACTCAAACAGCCCTGTTGGGAAAAAAAGTCCTTCGCTGTCAAGGTGCCAGAACAGAGATCTAAGTTCTGAAAACTTGTCCGATCTGCTCAAATACCAAAACCTTTTATACTGCCTTAAACACAGAACATCAGCTAGACACAAAGAAGACTTAACTGTGACAATCTTTTCCTGCTAGCAACGTTTAGAGAAGAAATACAATCACTCCTAGGATGCTGATTTATTTGTATAGTTTCCTGTGTTAACGACAATGCCCTTCTTTTCTTTTCCATGCTTTGGGGTGACCTCTGAAAGTTCTCATCTCATGTTCTTCTGTTTTCCCCGTCTGATGAAGTCAGTGTTACGGTATGAAGTGAATTTGTGCTGTTGTGCTGTGACTGATCTGATCAGATGGCTCTGCAGGGGAAGGAAGGGGACTTGTAAGCTGCACGAGTTCAGCCAAGAAGGTCACCTGTCCGTCTGATCGAGTGTCTCCTGAGGGAAACGTGAGATCTCTGCACAAGTTTTCCCCTCTCACCATTTTAATCCTGCATACTCTGCTGCGACTGCCAGTGTCTGCATGTTGGTGCAGATTTCACTCAGCTGCATTCATATTCTCTCGAGCACCGCGGGGGGGTAAAGGGCAACTTGTTGAATTTCAATCAAACACTTCTGACTAATTCACAAACGTAATGAAGAGATGATAACACACAGCATCGTTACATTCCACAACACTTCAGGTGGTTCTTTACCTTACGCATGTTAAACAGCTCTCCTGGCTGAATGCATCACCTCTGTGTTTCAGTCACCCTGCTGAACTTCAACCTATTTAAGGGTCTAATTGACCGATATCTACATGAACGTTTTGAAATAGCTCCAGAAGAATCCTCAACTGTAGCTGTAGTAAAGACTTGTAATGGCTGCAAACCACAAAGGCTGAGTTTGTTTGTGTTAATTGGTGGTTTTCACATACGCACAAAACTACAACTCTACCCTGAAATGTTCCTGCCAGCCCCCTAGAGAAGTTGACACATGAAGTTAAGGTCAACAACGTAAGAACGCAGAGTCCATCAACTATCTACACCGTTGTTTCCCCGTTCGGGGTCGCGGGGGGGCTGGAGCTGATCCCAGTTGCCATTGGGGGAAAGGCGGGGTACACCCTGGACTGTTTGCTAGTCAATCACAGGGCCGAGGTGTTTGTGAAAACGGCTAATGCTTGACTTTAGTGATGGTCAAATGGTTAGTTCTGATGCACCAAAATACTTGTGCAACACGCAATAACAAAACTATCTCATCGAGGCAACAGTAAAAAAAAGGCAACTAAAGTGTTACGCATGATTGGTTCATGGTTGTCATCAATGGAGTCTGGTGGATAATGGAATTTTAGTATATAGAGGGCGCCAGACAGCCTAGCGGTTATGTCGCACATGTAGTGTCCCACCTGTAGGCATGTATTCATAGTCCTTAGAATCAACATTTATACAAAGTGGTCATGAATAATCATAATAGTATTTCAGTATAATAATGAACTAATAGACACATATTATGCAAATTAGATAAATAAATAACAATAGTGTGAGGGTTGCATATTATAAACACAACATAATCAACTAAGGATGAAATGCAGAAGGGCAGAATGAATTCAAACTGAGCCTACAAAGTGAAACTCATCAACGATAGAGTGAAAAAAGTCAATGCTTAGATGAAATTTTGCATGGTCAAAAAGTGAGGTCTCAAGTTTCATACGAGCTCGCTTTTGGGGTAATTAAGTAATAAATCTTAGGCTAACCTGACATTTACGAGAGGTGAAGGAGAGATAAATACAAGAAAACCTGACATACATGCTATGTTGGATAGCAGATGGTTGGCCAGATATTTACCTCCATTTATCAAGAAGACATGACATTGCAGTAGGTTTTTTTGACCGCTAACTTCTGAGAATAGCATGTGGCAATGTATGGGACATGGCTGGGGCTGTGGGCCCATTTGGGACATAGCTAGAGCTATCTGGCTCCCTGGGACATAGACAGAGATATGAAGCCTGCATATCATGAAGTAGGAGAATCTAATGGTGGAGAAGGCGGATACCATCCTCACAAAAAGTATATATTGTGTGATATTCTTTGTCTTGGTCAGTTTTTTCAGCTGAAAGGCTCAGGCTTTGATTTTCTGTACGGATGAATAAAGTCTTATTTTGCACTCTGTTTTTTTTTTTTGGTTTCCTGACTCATGATTTTGAAGACTGCTCTGCAATTTGATTTGAATTCCATTTTGAAGATAGTTAGACTCAAGAAATTGACTGAGTGTTCAAAGACACAGACAAGACTCAGGCAACACCTGACCAGGTCTGAGTCGAGGGTGATCCGAATTTGACACAACACACACCTCATGTATAGAGGTTATGATCCTAGTCACAGCGGCTGTGAGTCCGATCTTGGCCCTTTGCCGCATGTCATCCCCCACTCATTCTCTCCCAACGTTTCCCTTCTCTCTTCAGCTCTCCTATCCAAGAAAGGCAAAAATGGAACACACACACATATATATAAGAAATGTCACTATAAAGACCTGTTGACAACGTGAATCTTCTGTCCGAGTACGTTCTGCATTATGATGTATTGTTCCCATGATTATGGGGAAATAACGATCGACAAAGAGCCTCAACCTCCTCCCGCTGTAAACTGAGTTACATTAGAACAGACGATCGAAGGTCGTTTTTGTTTCTTGTCCCTCCACTTCTGTGTGTGTAATGGCACTCACGCTCCCTTCACTGTTTCAGGTTCTGTCAGGCCAACTCCAACAAAAGCCTCTTCAGATTGCAAATCTGAAACATCGCCGCAAGGAAGCTCCGTCTTCATTAAGTCTTTGTACATTCCTATTGATCCTGCAAGGGTGCAGAAGTGGTGTCTTGGTCTGTTAATTCACATCGCGTTACGGCATGGCGGAAGCACAACCTGTACAGAAACAGCGGGAACTCCAAACACACACACACACACTTATGCATGCACACACACACTTAGCGCTGTTCTCCCCTGCTCTGCTTGCTGATCCCATCTTGCCCCTGTAACGCCTCTGTTACTACCTTGGCGCCACAGACGCTCTGTGACTTCCAGAGTGCAGGCCAGGGGACGTACACATCGCTCCTTGAACAGGCAGTTTGAATAAGGCCAGAGCTTAGCTTTGTAGAACAACCCTCTGTCGTTGATGGTTAAGTTTTAGATCATGCTGATGGTTAAATCCCGAAAGAACTTGTCCTAATCTCGGTTATGACTGTTGATAAAAAGGGGTCCCTAACTTTCAAAATGAAGCCATGTTAGATTAGAGATTCCAAATCAAACCAACAGAGTTAGGGTAAAAAAGATGAGGTGTCAACAATGTAACGGAGACACACAAAACCTTTGAATGATTTGCACTCCGTTGTTAAAAGAGCTACTCACCCTCCTCGGTGCTCTCTCTGCAGAACCAAGAGACCACAGAACAACACTGATCAAACCAAACAACACTGGCTGTTCAAAGAAAGAGAGAGCTAAAGCAGGCAGCAGGCAGCAGGGTTTCATCATGTCTGAAAATGAACACCATCAGCTGACTGTATGCAAGCTGCAGTTTGTCATACATCGATGTAAACATTGCAGGGTCTTTTGGTGGAAGGAGAAACTGTAATGTAATGTTTCCTCAAAATGTACACATACTGTGCAGCAATAGAAGTCTGACAACAACTAAAAAAAAAAGAGCACGAGAGACAAATGATGAAGTGAAAGCCAAACAGCTCATCAGAGAAGCACTCAGGCCCGTCAGCCCACATCAAACAAATGGCTGCGGTGCTGAGAGAGCTAATGCTTTACTGTGGAGCCATATCAATACTATTAACATAACGCACACCATTTATCTTCTGCAAAGTGGTCTGGGACGGACATCAAGAGCTCACTCCCGATGCTAAATGGGAAGCTATGGAAAAGCATAAGTAATGGCCACATATGTGAGATCTTCACTCTGTGTACATTGTGTGGGGAGGATGGTAGTTTGGAGAGTTACAGCATCAACAAGGCCACAAGTTGTGTGTACATACATTTATAAATGTTTATGTGTGTGAGAGTGAGAGTTTCGATACTGTGTGTCATAATGTATGTTTGAGAAAATCGTCAAAATAAATTCCTAATAAAACTGTAAAATCCATTTCATGACATCATCTAGGGCTGGATTTGATTTGAATCTCACAAGTTGGGAAGATGATTTGACTTATTATTGACTGGCTTATTAAAGAAATGTAAGAAATAGCTCATTAAGTAAGTAAAAACATTATGTGCACCATCCTTCAACAAACTACAGCCACTATTTAGTAATTATTGATGCATCATTTCCTGAGTGTCCCTGAATTTTTGGAGATGGTAATTTTGGTAACCCCTAGCAACCCATACAGCATTGAAATGCAAAGATGTGGCAAAGTAATGAGGTAAAAAATGTATTTCAACTAGCAAGAAGCTCTATTTTATATCAAATATAAATGTGAAATTAGAGCTAAGAAAAGCTAACCTAGAGGGAGTTTGACTTAACTCTTTTTAAGAAGTCATAACTTCATTCACTCCTTGCATGGGTATATTTGAGTCTACAGCTAATAGTCAGAAAGTCAGAATTAATGCTTCTAATTTTAAAAAAGCACAAAGACGTGCACATAAACAATGTTAACAGACACTTCAGTCTGCGGTTTAGCAGTTCGTTTATACTACAAATGCTGCCAGACTACTAACTTTTGAAAACTGCACCGCCTCCATCGTCTTGGAAACTGGAAATATGCAGTTCCTCTGAAAACAGAGACATTTTATACATGCACACTGTGTTTCAAGTCAATAGCCGTTGACTACAACAATGGCAGACTCCCAAGATCTGTCTGAGAAAATGCCGAAGGACTTAACTCTGAGTCGACAATTTCTTAAAAGTGTCTCGCTCTTCAGTTCAGGGTCACTACGAGTATCAACCCCCACCTCATCATCCGTACACACAAACGTTTGTGTGTTTGTCATTTTTGTGTGTTTACACCTCAACGCTCTGTAGAAGGAAGCGTATGTGTGCATGAGTGTGTTGTTTCATTACAAAGTCACACTGCCAGCTACTGGCCTGGCAGCGTCGTATACTACAGCGTCTAGTTGTTGGTTTCATAATGTTGTCGTCTGAATGCGGAGCTTTTATAAAAAATAAAATTGAAAAAGATCAAATTTTCAGTGGATTGTGTTGGTGTTAATGTGGTCTAAATAAGAGTAAACCTTTGGGACACCTCAAAGTTAAGATGCCCAATAAAGTGTCCTTTTATCAGAATATGTGAATGGACTGTAAACATGAGCAGTCTGCATTCCTGTTGTTGTAGCTGTTGTTTGTGCTGTTATCACTATTTTGTTCAGCTAAAAAAAAAAAAAAAAAAAAAAAAAAAAAGGTTGGTTGAATCTTGGCCCATAGAATGAAAAAAATGTGTTTTACCCTCTTCTTGAGCGCCTCCAACGATTCGTACTCCAGGCGTGCCAGTTGGATCTGGATGTGTTTGGGAACATCTGGGATGAGGAAGGCCAGGATGAACTTGACGGCCAACAGAGTATGCTGAAATCACACAACAAACACACAAAACAAAACAAAAAACAGGGATTAAATCCTTCATATGAAGTTTGAATGTTTTTGCTTTGAAAACGTGGAATGGGGAAGGTGCAGTGGAAGAGAGATTTTTAAGTTTTCTTAATGGGAGACTTTGATGTTCAAGAAAATGGTTAATGGACTTGAGCTTGTATAACACTTCTCTAGTCTTCTGACTACTCAAAGCGCTTTTACACCGCTGGTCACACCTATACATTCACACACTGATGGTAGAGGCTGCTGTGTAAAGTGACCATCAGAAGTAACTATAGTAATCCCATTCATACACACCACCAACGAAGCAGCAGGAGCAACTTGGGTTTAAGTGTCTTGCCCAAGGACACATCAGACATGTGGCTGCAGAAGCTTGGGATCGAACCCCTGACATTCCGGTCAGCTGAGCCACAGCCGCCACCAAAAATCAATCTCACTGTGTCTGTGACTTGTAAACCGGGTACACCCTGATGCCAGTCTGAAATCAGGTGTTTTGGGGTGAATATGCCTGTCGGTCACAAACTTGTGAAGGAGCTATTTATAAAAAAAATTATTGGGGCCCTTTTTCCATTGCTTTGCCTCTCAGGCTGCGGCGAAGGTGGTGATTGTAACAGCAGGAACTAAAAACAATTGTAACGCCTAAATGAGAGATTCACCGGTTGTGATTTTTTTTGGCTGATTCCAGCTGTGCACTCCTTTACAAAATATTTCAGGCAGTCTGCCTATTAAATCTTCCTGAGTTTGTGATACACATAGCAGGACATGACGTAAATAGAACCACTTGGAAGTGTCAGACAAAAGCAACAGAGTCAGAGGCTATGATGACAGTTTTTGCCTGTATGCAGTACCATTGAAGGGTAGAGAAGAACACACTGGCATGCAGAAAAACTGAGGAAGCAGTTTTATTATGTGGGGAAACACTACGGGTAAAGTCTGGTGAATAAACCATTCATTTGTGTTCACACATTCAGTACAGCCCAAAACTTTCAGGAACTCAGAGCTCAGGTCAAACAGACGACCTGCACACATCAGGGTGTTGTTTTCCCCCATGAAGATGATGGAACACTTTCACATGCATGTATGCAGAGCACACACATACACAAACATATGAACCCACACAAACACACTAAAAAATGGCCTGCCATGCACACACACACACACACACACCTGTGCCAGTCCATCTGGAGGACGGCCAACTGCCATCGGCTCCTTTGATTCAGTACCTTTTCCTCATCATAGTAATTGAGTCTGGGGTGCTACTGTAGATTGAACAAATGGTGTGAGGGCACGCTGCTCCATAGAAATCAGCTTCAGGCTTATTGAACTAAGTCATTTGGGTAAGATGAATTATAACAACGTTCAAGTGGTACTAGGCCTATATGTTCAGGTCAAATATATGTCTATAATAATATATGTTATTATTAGCTGCCATCTAAAATGGTCATCGTAAACTACATCCACTCTATAACATTTATGTATTAAAGCAGCCAATAAAACTGAGACACTGGTCAGTTATTGACCTTGTTTCAGTTTTCTGTTGGACATCTTAATATGGGTGTGTAAGGGACTTCTGGGTCTTTTGGAGCCAGCCTCAAGTGGCCTCAATTTCTAAGTGCCTTGCGATGAATCTTAACATCCCTACTTCTTGATTTCACCTGTTTTTAACATTGAAATCACAGTAAGTGTTTAAATGTCATGCTCAGGGAACGTTACATTTAAATAAAGTAGTTTATTATTTGGTCAGTTCCAAAGGAAAGAGTGGGGGAAAAAAATAGGTCAAGGTCCTACAATTTAAAAAACACCAGAGCTCTCCTTTAAAGAAGCAAAAACCAAAAAACATTTTCATTCCCTTCAGGACAGAAGCTCCTCCTAATTAAAAAGCTAAGAAATCTCCGATCTTCGTGACATATTGATTGAAAGTGCGCAGTAAACTCGCCAGCCCTTAGTTGATTGCTAATGCAATTCTCGGATCATTTATATTTCTGAGTGTTGGCCAGCGCAAGGTTAGACTGAGAGCGAGAGGACGCCCCGTTAAGACTGGAGGGACAAAGTGACTTCTGGAGTGTTTTTTTTTTTTTTCTTCTCTTCAAGGTCTCACTATAAATTATTTTCTGTCTGACAAACTGAATGTGATCAAACTTCAAATGCTCGTTGTCATCATTACACTGAGAGCACCGTGATCTTGACGTATGATGCCCTTCTGTCTGCTGTGTTTTCAAGATGACGACGGATGTGACTCCTCCGGACAAAAACATCAAGCTTCTAATTGCGGCAAAAGTTAACCATCCCAAAATGTTATTCCAGACATTGTATCAGGAATAATGACCCAGCTTGTGTCCTTACCTCAAGACCATTTCCTTAAAACATGAGAGCATCAATGATAAGACGAGCACAATCAAGAAGGATGCTGCACCACCCACCACATTATTCAGTATTCAGCTCTTAATGCTGTTACCATAGCACCCCTTCACTGTTAATTGGGAAATTAGCATGTCAGTCCAACTGATGAGGAACTGCTAATTCGGCCTTTTATGTGATTTGACATGAGCAGAATGTTTCAATATAACTGAGACACTCTGCTGCATTTAAAACCTTTGCTTTAAAACGAAGGTCTTCACTTTACATCATAATACTGATCGCAAAGCTCATCTGAATAACTACAAACCAGTGTGTCAGGTTGAAAGCAGCCGGCAACCTCAGATGTCGAATAATGAAACCGATGCAGAAGAGCCAAAAGTTTACAGTTCCCTGAGTGGCCACTTGAGACCGGCTGCAAAAGCTGGACAATCCCCATTATGTCCAATGTCTAAATGACCATTTTTACAGCGAAAATAAATATTTTTGCAGCCTGGTTCCAGAAAAAAAAAAGGTTTTTCATAGCTCATTCATTTATTAGTTGAATTGAGCGAGGGGTTAATAACTTGTCTGTTTTGATTTAATTAAGTTGAAGAGTTATACATATTTTTCATAATAACGGACATGGCTGAGTTGACTGACATGTTATAGCTGCTCTCTTTGTGCTTCACAACAGTTCTTCATAATCCAATGTGGGGCGTTACTGAGACTACCTCCATGTTTTATACATTCAATGGTTTAAAGATGGCAGCAATCTAACAGTTAAAGACAGGGTTGGTCATTTTCGACAACTAGCATGATTTTGAAAGTAGCATTCCCACAGTGCTCCGTCTGCACTCTATACCTCCCCTCTGAACTCCCTGAAAGCCACGCCCCCTCACTTACATGCACAAGCGCCATTGGTCCAGAAGCGAACCTCAGCTTATCGCTCACATTGTGTAGAAACTACGTCGTCTCACGTCTCATTCAGCGGTAAGTAAACCCACAGGATAAACTCGGTCATGGAAGACACACCTGAGTGTGGGCTGGTGAATAAACGAGCAGGGAGACAGGGAGGCGTCTGATTGGTTCATCAGATTGGTACCTCATGGCAGACATAGGTCAAAGTTTTTACAGGCTTACAACTGCTACAGATGACGGATTTTCTTTGTTCCTTTTTCAGAACATGAGTTTATTAATTTCTGTCAGGACCTAAAGACAATTTCAACCAAAACCTTAAAAAATGTGTTTGGAGAAAATGACCAACTCTACCTTTAAGTTCACTGGGCCTACTTTCGGAGAGGAAGGGGTTTATGTTTCTCTAACCTCCGTGGGCCCTCCCCATGTTTCTGGGACCCAAGAGCTTTCCCTTCTCTCCCACTTTTTGGGTGGCCTTGCACATTGGTGGTCTGCTGTAAATTACACAAATTGACAAATCCACATGGTAGCGGGCTGCTTATTTACAAAGTACAGCTCCACTAATAGATAATATATACTGAAATTAAACGGTATCATGATGCGTCTGATTTTCACAGGATTAGGGCGCAAAAGCTGCAAATCGTTTTTGTGAATCATGCCCGGGAAAATTGTCAATCATCTACTGCACAGTTTCTCTCAGCTCTACTGATCAGTTTTCAAAATCAGCGCTTCTGTGTCTTCAATACCTTTTTTTCAGCACTTTCATTAACCTCATTCAGAGGAGCACCAGGCCGGTCTCAACAAAGAGACCAGCTGGTGAAGCGAATGGTACTTTTCATCTTTGTTCGTTGTGTCATTTTTTTTTTTTTACATCTTTTTGATTTAATTTTACATTCTTTATTAATCTGAGGGAAATTCTGGTTTTACACTCTGTTGTTCAGGGACATGAATCACACACATGCACAAACAGGACCTGTGGACATGCATTAGTGGAGAGATGTCAGAGTGGGGCCGCTACAAAGGGAACACACCAGAGCTGTTGGGGCCTTCAGTGCCTTGCTCAAGGGCACTTCGGCACTCCGGGACCTGGCACCTCTCCAGCTGTCTGACCGCACTGTTATGTAGTGGTTTTAAACACAAGACAATATAAAACCCTGCCAACCATTTTAAAATGTTTAGTATATTTGAGAATCAGTCAAATGAATATTGTGTCAAGCTGTGATGTGTCTGTGTTGTTTTACGAGGTTAAGAATGTGTCTTTATAAGGGTCAAATAGCCTGAACACTGATGAAAAACAATCTTAATAATAATAGTCCTCCTGAAAAGATCTAGATATTTTCAGGAGTGCATATATGAAAACAGCTTAAGACTTGTGTCAGGTGCAGATCTTAAGATGGTCATGTTTTCTCGCCCTGATGGAAAAACAAGGATGAGAAATAATGCTTTGTATTTTTAAGACTGGTCAACAAATTGTCTCTAAAATATGAAATGTTACCACACACACAACAAATGCATCATTCAGTTCAGGATCTGTGTTGTTCAGGGTTTATCAAATTACAATTCATCCACAATCAAACAGACAAATCCCTCACTGCGCTGCGTTTGCTGTAAGGTGCGTGATCATGCCTGCGTTCATTTTGGGGCTGTGTGAGCAGATCCCGTTCACAAGGTGCCTGCTCTGTTGTTCTGCCGTAATGAAATAGAGTAGATTATAGCAGACAGAC